TTTGTAGACTCAAGTGAGAAGCGTGGATGAGATATGCCCTCTGATTAGCTGAGATGCAGCTCTGTACTTGCATCCTCTATGTTCTCTATTTTTTTCAATCTTTTGTCCCATTTTTTTTCATTTGCTCCCGAGGCCAAATTTAATTTGGCCTCGGATATATTACAATGTTGTATGTTCTTTTATATCAAATTTCAATTTCATGACTTTACCTTCTCAAGGTGATCATTTACAAGTTTTTTTATGCCCTTGTTAATTTGTTTTGTTCCGTTTGCTTCAAACGTTCACCTGAAAAGGATATTTCACCACAGCTGATAATAGAAGATGAAATGAAGATGACAAAAGTGTCACAAATGAAACTGAATCTGCATAATAAATCTATCTTTAGCAACTGCTCAGGACTAGCATTTGTTTGAAATGATCGAGAAAACGAGAAATTGTAAGACAAACAAGCTCAATTTCTGCAGATCAAAACCGAAAAAAAAGCCATCATCAATCTAAGTAGTGTTTTCCTTGCTAATAACTGCTGATGGTAACAATGAGGTAAAATAATCTATCTTGCCTTTAGGAGTGCAACCACAACCTGTCGTGCAACCGTTCTTCCCCGGCACCAAACATCTCGTCCACTCTTTCACCGTCGCGATAGAAATGAAACGTCGGGGTGTAACGAATGTGTTGAGTTGTTTCTGGGCATTCATCAATATCTGCATAGATGAAATAAAGCTTTGGAAAATTGTTACTCAGCCGACAGAAAGCTGGAAGAATCTGGCTGCACACACGACACCTGAAATGAACAACAACAAACCTCTAAGCTTTGCAAGTTCTAATGACAGCATACCAATTACTTAACTCTTAAAACAAGAAACTGGTGTTTGATTTTAGTACCAGACTCTATCAACTACATCCCTACAATGATAAACCAGAGCTCTCTAAGTTGTCTTTCTTGTCACTCAATGTAAGATTGGACCAAATTCTACAATTCCCCATCATGAAAGGCTCTCATAGAGGTAAAACGTCAAACACCTTGCCTGCAATACGCTAAAGGAACGTTTGGACTTACCAGGATGCACCATAATTGATAACTGCCTGCAGAGTATTGAATAACGAAATCAAACAATCAATATACCAAAACCAGTTACAGCACTACACAATTAAAAAACGCATAACTTAGAACCTTCATAGTTCATCTCATTCACCAATAGGCACAAGTCCGAAATTAGGGAAGTGGGAAACGGAATTTATGGGATATATGGAAAGCTTACAGTGGTTTTGGAGGACTTGATTTGAAGAAGAACGTCCTTAAAGTCTTGATCGCTGGAAGCGCTCTTCAAGTTACCATGGCGATTGACTGGCAGATCCAAACCAGTGCCTTCTAGACCCTTCTTCTCCGTGTCCTCCATCCCCGGTTTCGGCTATGGCGGCAACTGCTCACAAGCTTGAGTTGGGAGGAGAGTCTTTGTTCCTTTTGTTGATGGCTTTATCCAATATCCATTAATGGCGTTCGATGCCAAGTCCAAGGATCGTACGGTTGCCGCATTTGATTTAGAGATGTTCTATCGGCCATTCGTGGATGAAGACGAACGATACGATATGCTCGATCATTTTCACCAGATTTATTTGTCCTCCCAAGTCCCTCAATTTCTAATTATTTCTTGTTTTAGTCTTACAATTTTGGATTTAGTATTTTAATTTTATAATCTCATTTTCGACCTATTAATCT